TATATCATGTATATATCTTTCTACTTAGCACTTTTAATTCTTATTCTCATTTTTATTTTCATGTCTATTTAAGCTTAATTTATAACAGTATTTATGACAGTATGTTTGCACTGAAGCACCGCAGCAATTTCCTAATGTTGTAAACCCGCTCAACATTTGGCAATAAAACCCTTTCTGATTCTGATTCTTCTGCGTGTGTTTTAATAAACTCATTGTTTGATTGCACTCTTCTGAGCCTCTGTTGGTTTGTTTCATTGCTCCACATTTATTGAATTCGGGACAGCGACCTCTGAACTTTAGCGTGGATGCTGTGTCCTGTCACAGGATGTTTCCCTCAGTCTGCAGGCTGGGTTACAGAGACCCGCTTGCTGTTTATCAGGAGGATTATCAGTAGAAGCTGTAATTACTGTTCTTTGACACTATAAATATATATGGTAGCAGGCTGAGGGGCGGAGCCTGTTCGTCTGACTGACACTCTGTCGCGGTTAATGTTCACATTATTGCAGCTGTTTGTTCTGTACTGAGTGTTTCCAGCAACGGCCGCCATGACAGAGACTGCAGTACCTGTTGGTGACCTCTGACCTCTGTTGTGTTTGGGGCTAATAAAAGCTGCGTTCCTGAAGTCGAGCAGCGTATGGAGGCCGGGAACCGCAGGCCTATATGGAGACGTCTGTCCCCTCCTGTGCTTAAACTCACCAGTGTTCTTTGAGGCGGCGTCGTGTGCGAGGAACCGGCGAGGATGAGGCCGGAGGCCAGAGTCCGAGCTGAAGGCAGAGAGGAGCTTTGTACTGAGACAGAGCTCGCTCCGCCTCTCAGCTACATCACAGTAATCATTCAACACGCGTATATTACTTTTATATATCTATACAATGTTTGATCGATGACTTGATTGCACTTTGGATTTTCAGCTGACCGCCCCAAACCTCTGCAGCAGTGCTGGCAGCACTCACAGGTGAGGCCCTCAGCTTGGCCTGTGCTGGATGCAGCCTGTCCTACGGAGCTGCAGGTAACCTCAGGGTGCGCTCAGTTCAGACATGGCTGTGTGGACAGCACATTGTTACTGTTATGCCAGCTGTACGCTCACTACTTTACAGTATTTGTATCACATATGTTCAGTGTTGTCCTATGAACAGATATAAGAAAAACTGTGGAGGGTGTACTCGCGGATACCTGACACGTCACACTTTGTTCTCCTTTGTTTGTTTCCCAGTCAGCAGAACATTTAGCTGTAATAGCATCACGGCTGGTATTTACAGAAATATGAACAGCACGATGAACAAGCAGCAGCTTCCTGAGCAGCAAACTCACAGAGGGAATAAACTAGGTCAGCTGAGTGTGTGTATGAGCGTGTGCTGTTTGTATATTATGTGTGTATTCAAACCTCGTGCACTCGCTGATAGATATTGAGGCAGTGAAATGATTGCTGCTGTGCAATCTCTGACCAGAAAACTACAGTAAAAATGTACCGAAGAACTGAATAAAGTAACTTAACAGATAAAACATGAACATCAAAGTAAAGTAATTATTACTTAAATTAAGAATTTAACCTAAGAAGTCTGAACTAAGAGTTAGAGTTACATTTGAAATAAAAAGCTTGCAGTGGGAGGTATAGTAATGAGGTGCATTATTATGGTTCGAGTCCATGTGCAGTGATGCGATGTATGAGCGAGTCCAGTCCTCCAGTCATACACCTGGTTCAGGGCCCGGATAGCCTGAGGGAAGAAGCTCCTCCTCAATAAAGCGACCTTTCCTCGACCAATGAGATAAGCGGTAATCTGAATTGTCATACTCGAATTGTCATAAGTGTGCTGTCAGCTCATTGGTCACAAAGCAGGAAAAGGGCTGGGAGTTATGTTTTCAAACAAAGCGTTAATTCCATAAACATTTATAGACTACTTTTGATTCTCCCTGTATTACGGGACAAAGTGCGTCCCTTATCAGCTCAATACGGGACGAGTGCTTTTGTTTCGAAATACGGGACGATTCCGTTTTTTAAGCAACCCTACGTGAGGCCCGGTTACTGATAAATGCATTTAAGTGTGTGTGTGTTTATCTGAGTGTGCGTGTTGGTATCTGTGTCCTTGTATCTTGGTGGGGACCTGGGTTTGGCCCCACGGGGCTGAGGGCGTTTCCACGCTCAGCACGTGGTGTCAGGGCTACAGCTGGGCTCATTTTTCATGGTTCGGGAAAGCATTATGTCAATGGGAGGTCCCCACGAGGATATAAATACACACACGTGTGTGTGAGTGTGGTGGGGGTGGGGTCACTCGCTGTTTCCTCTTTGTTTTTTTCTTTGACCTTTCCCCCGGAAGTGGAGCAGCTGCTCTGCTGTTAGCCGCTCCGGACTCTCGCTCGTCTTTACCGTCAGAACCGGAACCTGCGACCGAACCGGAGGGACCATGGAGCCCGTCCCCGCTGCACCGGTAAGCACACCTGCCGAGCCGAGCAGGGCTGAGCCGGGCCGATCCCCCGGACACGGTCATGTGAGCGGCTAAGCTAACCGGGCTAGCCCCGGTGATCTGGACTCCGGTCAGGAATCCCTCAAACCGAGCCGAACCCGAGCCTCCCACTGCGGCTGCTGTCAGCACCGTCCCAGCTGGAGACAGGCCCGCTGTGAGGGGCTCCGGGTCCGAGCAGCGGACACTGAACGGAGTCCAGACTCGGTTACTGATCCACGGATTCGTTCGACTGATTATTGATGAGCGATCGATGTTACAGGGCCGTAGCCAGGGGGCTTACGGGGCGGGGGGCTCATAGATTAACCTCCTTAAATCAGAGTCGTGAATCTTTCACTATAGAGAACAACACAAAACTTTATTGATCCTGGAAACAGACAAACATCACAGCATGAAACAACCTGAACACGTGTAAAAGATAACACGCATCATCAGGCACGGCGTCTGAGTCCCAACTGGAAAGTCCTTTTCTCCTTATGCCGCCATCTTCCACAGGTCGACAGACCACGTGACTTTCGCGCATTGCATTGTAGGTATGAGTGGCAGCAAAATCAATACACTGCATCAAGCGCTAGCATTTCCAGCACCGGTAATCATTAATTCTGCGGTTTTAATCCCTACTTGCATTTTATTTGCCCCAAAACAGTTCTGTGCAAAACGAAGGAGAACTCGGCAGCTCCGCACGAAGACAGACGTGAGGAAGAGGCAAAAAAAAATCCAAGGAGTGAAAGGGTCAGACCCACACGAGCATACAGAGTGGAGTAGGGACGTTAGCCTGCTGCCCGACTTTCATCACGCACATTTATTATTATACGGTCCGAAGCGTGAGTGCATGCACTTCACGTTTATTAATGTCAGATCCCTGCAGCAAGCCCAGCTCCAGTTTACTGTGGTGATTTGGACGATTCCATCACAGCAAACGCATCTAATTGTCATTTCAGGTTGTAGTGTTACACAACATTTTCAGATGCAATAGAAATAAAATGAGTGTTTCGTAATTCATTCAATTTATTGTCTTTATTTATAACTGGCATTATTATTTCGTTCTATTATAGAGTCTTACAGGAAAGAGGCAACATTCTATTCAATTGTGCTTTATTAGCTGCTTCAGTGAAAAACAAATCAACAATGCAAAAAACAAAAAACAACATACTGGAAAACAGTTATTCATCACTTGCTTGCTTCAATGCAACACTTGGGCACATGTATGCAGACTTTTCGTGGCTGCTTTGATCTCGCTCTCTCTCGTAACCGATCAGATCTGGCTGTGGTAGCAGCTTTAAACTTGGTCTGACCCAGGCTGATAGAGGGGCCCAGCCTGGATCACATTCCAGCATTTTGTTGGCTGGTTTTTCTACAAAACACAACAAACATTAGCCTGCAAAGCCACAGTGAACAAAGCAGCAATGAATTCAATTCAAATCAATATAAGACTTATTTGTAACCTACATCAACAATTATGATAAAATACATAATAACTACAACAGCAGACTGACCTTTGTGGGAATGCTTGGAGCAGACTAACCTGTGAGCTGGAGAGTTCTGGGACGTCATATTTGGTCTTTGAATGGCTGCAATCCAGGCCATCCGTCGCCTCTTTGTTACTTCGGAAACATGGCTCGAACAATTTCTCTTCAACGACGTAATCCGATAACAACCGATCTCTTTACCCGTCGGCTTCCCGTGGCTGTCATGCGACCGGCTGTTGCAGTTAACTCATTCACTGCCATTGACGTCTATAGCCGTCAATTGCAGTGAATGAGTTAATGGGTTTAACTCATTCACTGCCAATGGCTGGCAGTGAATGAGTTAATAATACAACAGCTTCTTGCTATTTTTGTGTTTCTTTTTATCGCTGTGTGACTGTTTTCACGTGAAAGCCTGTGTGCGCTAGTACTGCTTGCCACTCGTACCTACAATCCTTTGCGGCTTTACCCCAGAAATGACGTCACATTTTAATCTCTATTCAAGTCGCGGTGGTGTTCTGTAAAGGTCATGGTGTCAGGTTACAATCCGGTCAGTGTAAGTTACCACGCAGAGTTCCTGCAGGAACACAAACACCTGTGTCCGCTCAGCGCCAGTTTTCAGTCCTGCAGGAGAAACTCAGGAACGCTGTGATTTGATCTTTGATGGACTGGAAGAAAAATGTGCACCATGAGGACACTGAGCTCAGGAGTGCATGCTGACTGCAGGTTAGTTAGGCTGACAGTCGCACACGCCACCTGATCGATACCGCCCCCGGTGTTCCTCATTTCGATAATGCAGTAATCTGATTACTGGCTTTGTCTGATTGCGTCTTGCCCGGCTGCATTCAGTTCAATTTTATGTTCATAGCAGTTAATCACAACGACAGTCACTTCATATTGTAAGGTAGACCCTACAATAACACCCCGACGATCAGATGGGACAGTGGGAATGAAATCCTCCCGTATTACCAGGAAGAAACCTGCAGCAGAGCCAGGCTCAGGGAGGGGCGGCAGGATAAAGAGGTTTGGATCTTCAGAGATGGTGTCTGTCTCCTGACTGAAGGGGCCTGAAAACTGAGGAACTAACCTCAGCCTATGCGACATGTCAGTGCTAACTAAACTAGCTTCTACGTTAGCTTTCAGTAACGCATTACCTCCCTGTTGCTGTGTGTGGAGCTCCATGAAGCCCCACCCACAGTAACAGTCCAGCACAGACGCAGAAATGAGCCCTGCTCCTCCGCCCTTACAGCCCCTCTGCACATTACTCAGAATGTTGTGCAGCACAGTTATTGCATACATGCGTGTTAGTGTGTCACAGGTGATTGTGCACCGTCACAGGTGGACAGACGCAGCTTGTTTGCTAATGTGAGCTGACCTGTCAGGACCCCTGGTGGCCAGTAACAGAACAGCTGTGCTCAAATTTAAAGCTACAGATGTCTGTTTGTGTTTGAAAGGTTCAAATCCTTCATGAAGTCACACCCGTCACTGCAGCTGCTGCAGAGTCATGTGACCCTGAATAAGAATGAAGTGTGTTTGTGCGGTCACGTGTGTTTTCACCGTGCGATGCTGTCTGAAATCTGTCCTTCCAGGCTGAGGAGTTCGCCGGCATTCAGGTGAAAACGGAGCCGGAGGGCGACGTGGAGATCCGCTCGTACCCGATCCTCAGGAAGTTGTCGGTCAAGCTGAGTGACTGCAGGGTGTGGCTGGAGGGGCGGGACTTCCTGTCTTTGGGTAATTCATGATTAAAATATCAGATTTCTGTGGCTGCTTTGTCTGAGCAGAAGTCCAAATCGCGTTTATTCCGGTCAGGTCAGACATTCAGATGTCTAAGATGGAAGCTTCCCCTTTAATTCAGGTGAATGAAGCAAAAAAGAAAGTGACAGGAAGGGAAACAAGCTGCTGAAACTAGAGACGTCACAGTGATGATCTCCACCACATCACTCAGCCATGCCTCAGATTTCTGCATTGCTGCTTCAGCTGCAGATTATTTAGACTCTGCGCAGCAGCAGGAGGGAACGTAGGAAGGAAGAACTCCCTTAGAAACGAGGAAAGCAGAACCGCACACTTGGGTTTCAGTGATCGAGTTTCTGATTCAAATCGGTTTTTAGTTTGAAAAAGTGACATCGATTCATTAAATCCTGAATCGGTTTTTAAATATAAACATATTTTATCAGAAACAGCAGAATCTGAGGTTAAAGGTCAAAGAACTCTCAGCTGTGTCTGTAATTTGCAGCATCAGGTAATGTTGAGTCATGGTTTTATTTTGAAAGTTATCTGCTATAAAACGCCAGGCCAGGAAAATCTGCTTCATGTTTTATCCTCAGTTACTTTGACACAAAGACATCTGCTGTGATGAAGTCTCACACTGTCAGCTTTGTTTGTATGCATGGATATAAAATATGGAATGTGCTGATAAGTGATCAGAATTACAACATTTCTGAGTCAAAATTAAATCGATTCTAGAAGTGATGATACCCGGCTCTGCTGTCTTGTCCATAACCTCAAACACTGTGTCTTTGAGAAAGAGCAGTGTGTTTGTGGCTGTTTCCTAACAAAGGAGACGTGATGTCCTCGGGCTTCCGTGTGTTGGGAACAGAATCGGAGGAAAACCTCTTCCTGCTGGTTAACCCGGCAGCTGGACGGCAAGATCAATGAACTGCCTGCTGGCTGTGGCTGTGTGGATGTCACCGTTCCTCTTCGTCTCTAACCTTTGAACTCCGCTTCCCCACAGGTGATCACCCCGAGCTCAGCGAACGGAGGCAGCGGCAGCAGCAGGCCACCAACACGGGCAGGAAGATGGTGTATTGCCACGAGTGTAACAAGGGCTTCTACAAGAAGTCCCACCTGGAGGCTCACCTGCGGGTCCACCGGGGCCAGAAGCCCAACGAGTGCTGGCAGTGCGGCAAGACCTACCCGACCCTGATGAGCCTGGTTGTCCATCAGCAGGTCCACGACCGCACGGCGCCCTACCAGTGCTCCTACTGCGACAAGACCTTTGCTCTGAAGAGGGACTGGAAGACCCACCACCGGACGCACTCTGGCACCAAACCCTTTAAGTGCTGGTTCTGCGGGGACGGCTTTGGAGAGCAGGACGAGCTCAGCGAGCACCTGGAGCTTCACAGCGGCGAGAAGTGCTACCACTGCACCGTCTGTGATAAGATGTTCATATCCTACCAGGGCTTCAACTTCCACCGCAAGTCCCACAAGAGCCGGAAGCTGCTGCCATGCCCCAAGTGCAACAAGACCTTCAGCAACCCTCAGAGCCTGAAGCTGCACCAGGTGACCCACTCCAACAGGAAACCGCACAAGTGCCCCACCTGCGGCAAAGCCTTCAAGCTGCTGAGCGGCATGCGATGCCACCAGCGCACCCACGAGGATCTGAAGGCCTACCACTGCACTGAGTGCGGCAAGTGCTTCTCCAGCCTGCAGGGCTTGAAGCTGCACGACCGCACGCACACCGGACTCAAGCCCTACAAGTGCTCCGAGTGCGGCAAGCGGTTCACGCAGTCGCCCCATCTCAAGGCGCACATGGTGACCCACACCGGTGAGCGGCCCTTCCTCTGCACCACCTGTGGGAAACGGTTCACGCAGTCATCCCACCTGAGGTCCCACATCACGCTGTTCCACGTGGGCGAGAAGCCGTTCACCTGCAATGACTGCGGGAAGAGCTTCACCATCGCTCACTACCTGAAGGTGCACCGGCGCACGCACACCAAGGAGAAGCTGTACCAGTGCTCGTACTGCCAGAAGTCCTTCTCTTACCACAACTCGTGGAGGGCGCACGAGAGGATTCACACCGGCGAGCGGCCCTTCACCTGCCAGGACTGCGGCCAGAGCTTCATCACGTCTGGCTCGCTGGTCAGCCACCAGCGCTCCAAGCACACTGGCGAGAAGAGCCACTACTGCATCACCTGTGGCGAGTTCTTTTTCACAAGCTCCATGCTGCGTGTTCATCAGCTCGACCACACCGGCGAGCGGCCGCACGTCTGCAGCTGCGGCAAGACCTTCAAGACCCGAGGTGTTCTGCGCTACCACCTAAAGAGGTTCACCGACCACCGGCCCGCTGAGTGAGGGGAGGGGCCTTTCAACACTACCCTGACATGTTTAATATGTTAATCACCGCCTGAGTTTCAGCAGGAGCTTCTCCAACCGCAACATGTCTTCTTCATGGTGGTCCTCAACCAACCAATGATCTCACAGAGCAGCAGCCCTACCATACTGTGCTGTTCTGACGTGAACTTTGACTCTATGGACATGAATGCTGCTGAGAAGCCACTCTAGTCTCCTGACCGTTAGCGCTGTTAGCGCAGACCGTTAGCACGCAGTGTTGGGAAGGTTACTTTTAAGTGTGTCCCACTACAGATTACAGATTACATGCCCCAAAATGTATTTTGTAACGTTTTCCTTTACGTTACTCAATGAGAGTAACTATTCTGAATACTTTGGATTACTTCACATATTATCATGCTTTTTCTAACTACATGAATGTACTATTGCTGTGTGATTTATTACTTTTACTGAAGGTTACCCGCCATACCAACTAGATGTTTAAGTCTTAGTATAAATGAGTAACAGTAGGTGGACTTTAGGTAAGGCTGCACTTTTTGCAACATATGACTGTATCAGTCATGTTTTGTTTCTGTCTGCTAACCTCAGCTAACGCCAGCTAACAGTGTTAGCTCGGTGGTGAGTAGCCTTCAGTAATAGCAACAGTACATCACAGATACTGAAGTGGCACATGACCCAGGTAGCTACCACAGCTAAAACAAGCTAGCTGCAGTCGGCTAATGTTAGTTTTTAAACAGAACGTACTTCCAGATGTTTCTTTAGGTTGGCGTCTTTGACGCTGAGAGCAGCTCGGTTGCTGACAAACAGAGTTTGCATTGCACGCTCAGATTTCATCCCTCTCTCATTTAAATGTGGTTTCGGACTTTCCTAGTAAGAAATGCATTCCTGCCCGTGCACTGCTGGCTCTGCTGTGCTGGCTCCGGGTCCCACCAACATTAACAGGACGCTGACATTAGAGAGGGCATAGCCTAACATATGAAACTGGAAAAGACCAGATACACGTTTGTATTTTAAATGCATAACACAGGTACATATATTCTGTTTCAGCCCAACACTGTTGCCGCTGACCGTTGGCGTTGCTGAGACTGTGGCGCTCCAAACCCAGCAGGCTTCCAAAGAATCAGCCATGATGTTTGTGCATTGCGCTCTTGGTGACACCGTGTTTTTAACGGTGCGCATCATGTCATTACCAATAAAGTTTGACCTGCAGCTTCACCTGTGACTTCTCTTGTTTTCCCCCCTGACAGCTAAGTGACAGAGTCACCTGTCACAGGTGTGTTAAAGGTGCACCATGGTGTGTGTGTGGGTTTTTGTTTTTTTTGGGTTTTTTTTAGCATATGGACAAATGAAGACTTTCAAAATAAATGACCCCACACAAACTCTGCTCCGGAAACTGTGCCAGTGTGATTTAATGAGACAGAAACATGTGCAGCTGGTGTGTCCAGCAGTGGCGGAGCAGGGGGGGGGGGGGGTCTGCCAGGGCCTCGCTCCAGGCCGTCCTCCAACCAGGGGCGGAGCGTGGGGGTGGCTTACTGGACTTAAGCCCGGGTTGTTTTGGAGTAATTTTTTCATAGTTAGATGTCTGGCTGACAACTGTATAAAACAAAAAACTACACACAATATTCGAAGCACATAGTGCACACTGTGGGAATTTACGACTGTGCGTGAATCCCCCCTAATATTGCTTTGATCCGAGCTCAGGCACTAAGCGACTGAGTGAGGGGGCGGGGCAGCTGCTGCCTGCGAGTGCGCTGTTAGAGAAACGCAGCCAGGCAGACAGAGGAGAAGTTCGACCAGGTACCAAAGCAAATCATTCGTACTGTACAAATAATGTAAATATGACGGTGACTCACGAAAGATATCAAACTGATCACTTGACCCATGTTACGTTACTTGCTCTTCGAGTGAATCAACAAATGGCGAAATGAAAAGCTGAACAACAACAGCTGTTTCTTTAGAGAGTCTCAGCTTACATGTGTTTATTTCATATTTTCAGTTGTTTCCCTCCACGGCTAAATAAGGTCAAGGTTCTTTATTTGTCACATGCATAGTTATACAAGTATAACACAGTGAAATGTGAAATAAATCGGTTTCAGTAAAGCACTGATACACAAGAATGGACATAAGGAGCTTCTTTCAAAGAAAAAACTCAGGTAGATGTTATTTTATATATTAAGCTTTGTATGTTGTTCAGTATATTTCTATGCAAAACAAGAGGAACTTCAACACACAGCAGGATATTCACAGCTGAAAACAGATATTTACACTTTATGGAAAACACAAGAACATTTTTTACTGTACAACATCATTTTAGAGTAAACTTGTTTTGTTTTGGATAAATAAATATTGAAATATATTTTGAATTAGTTAAATGTCAGAATAAAGAGAGAGAGAGAGGAACAGAGAGAGAGAGGACCAGAGAGGGAGAACGAGGACAGAACAGAGATGAACAAGAGCAGGTGAGACACACATGTTAGTCAAATGGTTGTTTACCAAAAGTATCACCGTATCGTAGGTACGAGATACATGAGGACCTACGATACCATATTTATTAAGTTCTGCAGCTTGTTTGCACAACAAGGCTAAATAATTATATAAACTTCTCTGAATCTAATTATTGTACTTTGGTAGAATTAAAAAATAAGTGTAGTGCAGGTCTATGATGATTTTTAGTGCTGCTATCATCTAGTTCTGATTCTGGTTCTGTTTTGGTTAAGTCCTCAGTAGTCCTGATTTTGAACTGTTGTAGTCCTGTTTTAATTCCGGATCAGTTCTGGGTCTGGTTGAATTGGGGTTTAGTCCTCGTGTCTTGATACAGCTCTGACTTTGTTCTGCCTCGCTGCTTAATTAAAAACCTAGTTTAAGGTGTCCTGCACATGTGATATATATTTTCCCTATATGAAGTCATTCTTTTTTGAACAAACTCAAAGCAGAGCCCATACTACCCTTTAGGGCTAAGCCCCGGGTGTATCAAATGTCTGCCTCCGCCTCTGGTGTTCAGAGTCACTAAGGTTCACGGCTTTGTGTGACCTCTGACTTTGTTTAAACTTCCTGACCTTGGTTTTGAGCATGAACCACACTGACATCAGCATACAGAAACCGTCTTACATCATCAGTTTATTCCAGTGTGTCAGTGTAAACGAGAACCCCTCTGACTGCTGCTGACCCTAAACACACTTTGATTGGCTTACGCCACAGTCACACCAGGCCTGCAGACTGGTTTGCAAACTGTTCAGTGACCCCCAGTAACCACCATTTGCTAAGGACATCTGTTCCCTGATTGGTTGATGAGGTTACATCTGACACATGCTGAGTGACCACAGAGTGGCGGTAAAACTGGAAAATAAAAGGTGAGACTAGTGATGGCCCGCTTGAAGCTGGCGCTCCGGAGCGTGTGTCGATAAAAACAACACACTGGTTCAGAAGCACTGTGTCGAGGCTTGCTTCGTTTGGCAAAAATCACGTGACCAGTGACGTCCGAAGCTTCATTACGCA